GGGTTTACTCTGGATATCAATAACCCAAGGCAATTCTAATAACGGAATATATTGAATGTTCTTTACTGAAACAACATAAACTTCAAAAAATAATGCAAAGATTTTACCCATACAATGCTTACAATCACAAGTCAACCCTTTTACACGGACCTGTCTGAAGATCTGACCAGAATTCGTGATCAGCTTCCTCCATCTCAACTTCTAGTCGTTGATCAATCGACTTTCCGAACCAACTAAACTTTTGGTGTGAGGTAACTTGTTCTGTACTGTTTCCATACAAAAAAGCTGTACATTCAAAGTCCTAACACATCAAGTCTTCTGCAAATGATCAGGTCAACACTAACAAACATCACAAACGTGTCATATTTTCCATGTCGGTTGAACCGATGAACTCATTCAGATTTGAAAAGAAGCTTATCTCTTGCCTTTAATGAACATTGATATAAATTTAGCTTACGCTCGATGTTCACCACTTTTATGCCATCTGATCAAATGTATGACATTTACACAGCACAATTCTATGACAATCACAAATTCAGCTAAACATAATTCACATTATCACATCTGATTGACTGTGTCTGCCTTAAACAAAACTTTTATCTTTTCCAGAGTTACTTTGACAGTTCAGTCCAGTACTGCTAAGATCAATGCTGGATGTCAACAAACATGCACATTCTTCCAGCTAAATACAAACATTTAAAAAAAACCCATGACCATTCTAATCGTTATGTTTTGTATACTTTCTCCTTATAGAACATAGAACATAGAACAGGACAGCACAGTACAGGTCCTTCAGCCCACGATGTTGTGCTGAACGTTTACCCTAAACCTAAGGTCTATCTAACCTCCACCCCTACCTTATGCTATCATCCATATGCCTATCTAATAGCCGCTTAAATGCCCCGAATGAGGCCAACTCCACTACCCTCTCCAGCAATGCATTCCAGGCCCCTAAGTCTGAGTAAAGAACCTACCTTTGATGTCTCCCCTATATCTACCTCCATTCACTTTGAAGCTATGCCCCTCATAATAGCTACCTCCACCCGAGGAAAAAGTCTCTGGCTATGCACTCTATCTATACCTCTGATCATTTTGAACACCTCTATCAAGTCACCTGTCATCCTTCGTCGTTCTGAAGAGAAAAGCCCTAGCTCTCTCAACCTTTCCTCGTAAGACCTTCCATCCATTCCAGGCAACATCCTGGTAAATCTCCTCTGCACCTTTTCCAACGCTTCCACATCTTTCCTGTAATGAGGTGACCAGAACTGGACACAATACTCCAGATGTGGCCGAACCAGGGTTTTGTATAGCTGGAGCACAACTTCACTGCTCTTGAACTCAATCCCTCTATTAATGAAAGCTAACACATCAAATGCCTTGTTAACAACTCTATCCACCTGGGTGGCAGCTTTCAGGGAATGGTGGACGTGAACCCCAAGATCCCTCTGCTCCTCCACACTGCCAAGAATCTTTCTGTTAACCCTGTATTCTGCTTTCAAGTTTGTCCTTCCAAAATGAATCACCTCACACTTTTCAGGGTTAGACTCCATCTGCCACTTCTCAGCCCAGCTCTGCATCCTATCAATGTCTCTTTGTAGCCGAGAACAGCCCTCCGCACTATCCACAACTCGACCCACCTTCGTATCGTCCGCGAACTTACTAATCCACCCTTCCATTCCTGCACCCAAATCATTTACAAAAATCACAAATAAAAGAGAACCCAGAACAGATCCTTGTGGTACACCACTCGTAACTGAGCACCATGTTGAATATTTTCTGTCCACGGCTGCCCTTTATCTTCTCAGGGTCAGCCAATTCTGAATCCAATCTGCCACATTTCCCCCTATCCCATGCCTCCTCACTTTCTGCATGAGCCTACCATGAGGAACCTTATCAAACACATTACTTAAATCCATGTGTACCACATCCACTGCTTTACCTTCATCCACGTGTTTGGTCATCTCTTCAAAGAATTCAATAAGGTTTGTGAGGCATGATCTATCTCTCACAAATCCATGCTGACTATCACGAATCAAACTGTGCCTATCCAAGTGATCATAAATCCTATCTCTCAGAGCCCTTTCCAATAATTTGCCCACCACTGAATTAAGACTAACTGGCCTGTAATTTCCGGGGTTATCCCTGTTCCCTTTTTTGAACAAGGGAATGGCGTTTGCCACTCTCCAATCTTCCGGCACTATACCCTTGGACAGTGAGGACAAAAAGATCATCACCAAAGGCGCTGCGATCTCTTCCCTTGCTTCCCATAGAATCCTTGGATAATTCCCATCAGGCCCGGGGGACTTATCTATCTTCAAGTTCCTCAAAATTCCCAGTACATCTTCCTTACTAACATCGACCTCCTCTAGCCTACCAGCCTGTTTCACACTGTCCTCTCCTACAACTAGGTCCCTCTCAGTTGTGAATACCGAAGAAAAGTATTCATTAAGGACAACTCCTATCTCTTTAGGCTCCGTGCACAAATTCCCTTGACAATCCTTGATCGACCCTACCCTTTCTCTGGTCATTCTCTTATTCCTCACATACGTGTGAAAAGCCTTGGGGTTTTCCTTAATCCTATCTGCCAAGGTTTTCTCATGCCCTCTTATAGCTCTCCTAAGCCCTTTCTTCAGTTCCTTCCTGGCTAACTTGTATCCCTCTGGAGCCTTTTGTGCTCCTTGTTTCCTAAACCTTATACAAGCATCCTTCTTCCTCTTAACTAGTCATTCGACCTCTTTTGAGAACCAAGGCTCCCTCACTCGCTCGCATCTTCCCTGCCTGCTAGGGACAAACATATCGATCACACGCAGTATGCATTCCTTAAACAATCTCCACATTTCTATACTGGGTCTTCCCTGACAGCATTTGTTCTCATTTTATGTTACCCAGTTCTTGCCTAACAGAATTATAATTACAATTCCCCCAATTATAAACCTTACCCTGCTGTATGTACCTATCCTTTTCCATGACTATTGTAAAAGTAACAGAGTTATGATCGCTACCGCCAAAATGCTTTCCTACCACTTGGCCCGGTTCATTGCCAAGCACCAAATCCAAAGTGGCCTCTCCTCATGTTGGTCTACCTACATACTGTGTCAGGAATCCTTCCTGAACACACTGGACAAAATCCGCTCCATCTAAACTATTACAACTAAAAAGTTTCCAATCAATATTTGGAAAGGTGAAGTCACCCATGACTACAACCCTGTGACTTCTGCACCTTTCCAGTATCTGTCTCCCAATCCGCTTCTCCACTTCTCTGCAACTATTAGGGGGTCTGTAAAAAAACCCCAACAAAGTGACTGCTCCTTTCTTGTTCCTGACCTCAACCCAAACTGACTCTGTAGACATATCATTCTCGAACTGCCTTTGAGTAGCTGCTATACGAGCCCTGACTAGCAAGGCCACTCCCCCGCCTCTTTTACCACCGTCCCTATTTCTTTTAAAGCATCTAAATCCTGGAACTTCCAACAACCATTCCTGTCCCTGAGTTACCCAAGTTTCTGTAATGGCCACAACATTGCAGTTCCAAGTACTGACCCATGCTCTTAGTTCATCCACCTTTTTCCTGAAACTTCTAGCATTGAAGTATACACACTTCAAACCATCCCTGTGTTCACAATTACGCTCCATTGACCGCATTTCTTTATTAACAACCTCACTCCCCGTTGTGTCTGTTGGAAAGGCTGAATACCTCATCCTCTGAATTACAAATCTGGTTCCCCACCCCCTACCAATCTAGTTTAAACCATCCCGTATAGCTGAAGCAAACCTCCCTCCCAGGATATTTGTGCCCTTCTGGTTCAGATGCAACCCATCCTTCCTGTACAGGTCCCACCTTCCCCAGAATGATTTATTTTATATAAGGGTCAGTGTTACTGCACTCCTCCCCCAGCATCTTTCTCTGCCCCCATTCTTCGTAGGAGCTTTCATAAGCACTAAAACAGAACCCTTGTGACCGCACCGGTCATCAAACATCCCTACATTCATTCCAATTCCAATTCTAATCCCATTTTTTCAGCACTCTGGCAATGACGTGCGCTCTCTACTTCCCTAAACTCGACGGAAGTCTGCGACTGAAGTGACTGCAAGCAGCAGAACCTCCGCTCGCTCTTACCCTCCCACCTCCCCAACAAATCTCCTTATCATTTCATTATGATTTAATTTTGGATAATCCAACAAATTTTAGTTTAACATCGACCCTTCTGTGTCATTACATTGTCAATTGATTCCAAGATTTGCCTGGCTGCACAGCAGCCTCTTAAAGATGGCACAGACAAAAGAGACAGATATCTGCTAAGTTGTGAGTTGTTATGTAATGGCATTAATGGTTAAGATGGGGCTAGAACCAAGCAAGATGGATACCATGAGGGCAGGTAGGTAGTTGCTGAGGTAGGTTTTGTAAGATAAAGTGGGAAATCTAACTAGAATACACAGGGAAAAGGATTAAAAGTGAGTTTCAAAGCTTGTGCGTTTTGTGCATGCTGTCGAGCTTGGTATTCGTTTGTACTAGCCTGTGTTCAAGTATGCTGTGAAACTTACAGCTGAAGAACCATCCTGTAGTCATCCATGCACACACCATGGAGGGAGAATACTTCTACTTCTGGCCAGTTCAAACAAAAATAGGACAAAAGAATTTAGATTAAAGTGTAACACCAATGGAGATGGATTATCATCCCAAGCGCAGTTTATGGTTGGAAGGTAAGTATGAACAATTTGCACAACAACAAATTGTTTAACCATTCTTAAAAACAAGACATTCTTCCTTAAAGACAAAGGAGAATAAAAGAGATACCCAATGAGCAAGCAAGTAGACATCTGCCAAAACTGCACACTCGGCAGAGAGTGCAAATTAGAAATTCAAATAGAAATATTAAGGTATCATCAAGCGTTTCAAGGATATGCAATGAGATCAGATCATTTCTTTTATTCATTCATTGGATGTGGGTGTTACTGGCTGCAACAACGTTTGTTTTCCGTCCCTCATTTTCCTTGAGAAGATGGCGGTAAACTGCCATTTTGAACTGCTGCCTCGACAACCAGCAAACATCACAAACGTGTCAAATTTTCCATGTTGGTTTCACCAATGAACTCATTAAGATTTGAAAAGAAGCATATCTCTTGGCTTTAATGAACATTGACAAAAACTTGATGCAGATGCATCCACAATGCCTTTAGGGAAGGAGTTCCAGGATTTTGACCCAGTGACACAGGAGAAACAGCAATGTATTTCCAAGTCAGAATGGTGAATTATTTGGAAGGGAACTGGCAGATGGTGGTGTTCCCATGTATGTGTTGCCCATGTCCTTCTTGGTGGAAGTAAGAATGGATTTGAAAAGTGCTGTCTAAGGATCTTTGGCAAGTTTCTGCAGTGTATGCTGCAGATAGTGCACACTGCTGCTGCTGAAATTCGATGGTGGAGTGAGTGGATGTTTGTGGATGTGATGCCAATCAAACCGGTTGCTTTATCCTGGTTGATGTCAAGCTGATTGAGTGTTGTTGCAGCTGCATTCAATCAGGCAAGTGGATAGCATTCTACGATACTCATGACTTGTGCCTTGTAGATAGTTGTCAGGCTTTGGTAAGGCAGGAGGTGACTTACTTTTTTAGGACTTGTGTGGGACAAATATTACTTGCTAATTGTCATCCCAAACCTGGATATTATCCAATCTTACTGTATTTGGCATGAACTGCCTCAGTATTTGAGGAATCATGAATATTGAACATCATCAATAAATATTCATCTCTGATCTTATTTTGAAGGAAAGGTCATTGATGAAGCAGCTGAACATAATTAATCCCTGAGGAACTCTGGCAGAGATGTCCTGGAGCTGAAATGGTTGACTCTCAACAACTATAATCATCTTCCTTTATGCCACATATGACTCTAACTAGCAGACTCTCTGGTGGATCCCTTGCTGCCTTTTCATTTGTATTTTTATTTTTATCATGTTTGGTTTGCAGCTGTGAACTGAGAGCTAAGAGCAGAAGGAGACCTTTGGACTGTAAGCAATGGCTTATATTTTTTTTAAAAATGAAAAAAACAAACTGATATATGCTTATGAGGCCAGGCCTGAAAGTTACTTGCGGTTTGATTCTTGTTCAAAGAACACGCTAGACATTTTGTCGACAAACATGCAATATGCTCAAACAGGGTGTAACATTGTGTAATGTATGATAGCATGAGCATGACTATGACAGACTGTTGCTTGACCAATTGTGAGACAAATCAATGGAAGTGAAGGGAGCAGATTGATAGAGGCCCTAGACCTGTACAGAAAGAGCAGGGGAAGCTTAAGCAAGCAATTTGAGAGCCAAGAGTGGGCATGAAAGCAATGGCAGGAAAAATTAAGGAGAATTTCAAGATATTCTATAAGGATATTAAGGGGAAGAGGACAACCAAGAAAAGTATAGGGTTCATTAGGGATCAAGGGAGCAATCTATGTGTGGAGCCAGAGGACATTGGTTAGGTGTTAAATGAGTACATCACTTCTGCTTTTACTCATAGGAAAAGGAGGCTGTAGTACAGAATTTGGGAGAAAGTCTGTGAGGTTCTCGGGCAGAATGAAGTAGAGAGTGAGGAAGTGTTGGAAGCTTTGGCAGACTTAAAAGTGGACAAATCCACAGGTCCAGATGAATTGTGTCCAAGGCTGCTGTGGGATGCAAGGAAGAAATCACAGAGGAGCTGACTGAAATTTTTAATTCCTCTGTTGCCACAGGAGATGTGTCAGATGACTAAAGGACAGCTAATGTAGTTCCACTTTTCAAGAAGGGTATTATAGATAAGGCAGTCAGTCTTACATCAGTGCTAGGTAAACTATTGGAAAAAATTCTGCAGGAGAGAATTAATCTCCACTTGGAGAGGTAAAGTTTGACCAGGGATAGCCAGTATAACTTTGTTAGAGGGAGGTCATGCCTAACAAATTTGCTAGTTAATATAATTTATATGGGTTTCAGCAAGGTTCCACATGGAAGCCTGATAAATATGATAAAACTAAGTGGGATCCAGGGTAACTTGGCAAGTTGGATCCAAAATTGGCTTTGTGGTAGGAGACATGATTGAAGTGTATATGATTATGATAGGCATGGACAAGGTGGATAGAAAAGAGGCGTTCTCATTAGTTTAAGATGAAATAACCAGGGAAGACACTTCTAAGGTAGGAGTCAGGAGATTTAGAGGGGATTTGAGGAAACATTTTTTTTCACTCAGAGGGCAGTGGAATTCAGAATGTACTGCCTTGGAGAGCAGTAAATGTATGCGGATAAACAATTGAAATGTCATAAGATTCAAGGCTATGGGCCAATTGCTGAAAAGCAGGACTAATGAAGATAGATGTGAGCAACTCAGTGAGTTGAAGGGTCCCACCTGTGCTATAGGACTCTGACAACTCTACCTCAATAATAGCACTAGTCTCCAGAAGTTATTAAGGATGACTTTGCAGGATTGTTAGGGCTATGTTTGCTGTCATCATTTCTGGTGCCTTAGTCAATGCTAGATGGTCTGTTTGGTTCCTTTTATTTAAGACTTTCTGGCAATTGGTGGATCAATGGTTAGCACTGCCGCTTCACAGTGCCAGAGACAGGGTTCAATTCAAGCCTTGGGTGACTGTCTGACAGCAGTCTCCCCATTTCTTCCAGGTGCTCTGACTTTCCGATGTGCAGATTAGGTGAATTGGCTGTGCCAAATTGCTCTGAAATGTCTATTAATGTGCATGTCAGGTGGGTTAGCCATGATAAAGTGTAGGGTTACAGGCATAGGGTGGGAGGCTCAGTCTGGATGGGATGTACAGACTCAATGGGCCAAATGGCCTTTTTCTGTGCTATCGCAATTCTATGAGTTGAAACAACTGAACGGCTTTGCTTTGCTGTTTCAGGTGGTGGTTAAGAGTCAACCACATTGTTGTGGTCTGGAGTTGTATGTAGGTTAGACCAGGTAAAGAACAACAGTTTTTCTTCCCCTAATTGACATTGGTGAACCAGAAAGCTTTTTATGACAATTGACAATGGCTTCATGGTCATCATTAAACTTTTACTTCTAGAGTTTTATTGCATTCAAAATTAACCATCTGCCAACCCAGTTCCCAAGAACATTACCTGACTCTTTAGATTACCAGTCCACTGACAATACCACTATGACATTCCCTCCATGCCAATCATATTAAAACATTATTGATTATGGTGCTACATTGAAAAGGACCAGAAGCCACCACAGATATTGATCACCACAGATATGGGACACCAATAATGCATGAAGAGAGTGAGGAAGAACATTTTAACAATGGTGATTGGGCAGTGAAATTGAATGACCACAATCAATAACAAAACAACCAAGTCGTCAACAAGTGCAACTGAGAATAAAGTGCACCTCTCCACATGGGTAAAGGATTACCAGATCAGGACAACGTTTCAAACCTTGTAAGCATTAAATTGAACACTGAAACAGTAGTCTTGTAAACTCTGTTTTAACTATTTGTTCAGTTATTGAATTGACAACACATGGCTATGTACAACCATATATGTCTGTTTGGGTTAAGATTTTATCTTTTGAGAAAAAAAGGGATGCTGTGCTATGTCACAAATTCAGCATGTCAGTGTATCTTGAACTGACATGCTCATGATATAACTTCCTCATCATAGCATGAGATTTCAATGATATAAAGATCTCAGACTCTCACCTAACTTTGATCTCTTGGTGTGGAGGTGCTGGTGTTGGACTGGGGAGGACAAAGTCAGAAATCACACGATACCAGGTTATAGGCCAACAGGTTTGTTTGAAAGCACACGCTTTCAAAGCCTCATTTCTTCTTCAGGTGTTAGTGAGAAAGGTGGAATCAGGCAGAGAATTTATAAGTAAAATATCAAAGTGTCACACCACTGATGTGGATGTATTAAATAAACCTAAGATGCTGTTAAATTTTGAATCAGTCAGAAGGTTTAGTTGATTAATATGTGTATGTAAATCCCTAAATTTCTTTCAAGTCACTGCCCCGAGAGAAGTAAAGGTTTTATTAGTGTAAAGAAGAGGTGACATTTTAGGTCAAACAATGCACGCTAGGTGTGAGGTTATAACTCACTCAGGGATAGTAAGAACTGCCGATGCTGGAGTCAGAGGTAACATAGTGTGGAGCTGGAGGAACACAGCAGGCCAGGCAGCATCAGAGGAGCAGGAAAGTTGACGTTTTGGTTCAGGACCCTTCCTCAGAAATGCACACACTGAGATCCTCTCTCATAAACACACTGTCTCTCAAGCACGCACACACACACACAAACTTTCACACGGATCATCTCTCGTACACACTGTCCCTCAAACACACATGCGTGAGCGTGTGCGCACACACACACACATACTCTCCCACACACACACACACACACACACACACACACACACACTCTCACACACTCTTTCCCATTCACACATACAACACACATACACACTCTCGGACAGATCCTCTCTCATACACACACTGTCCCTCAGGCACACACACACATACACACACACACACACACAGAGACACACTCTTGGACAGATCCTCTGTCACATACACACTGTCTCTCAGGCACACACACACACACACACTCTCTTTCCCCTTCAGTCATACACACAACACAGACACACACATACACACTCTCGGACAGATCCTCTCTCACATACACACTGTCTCTCAGGCACACACACACACACACACACACACACACATAGACACACACACACACTCTCGGACAGATCCTCTCTCATACACACACTGTCTCTCAGGCACACACACACACACACTCTCCCACACATACACAGACACACACACGCACACACTCTCTCTCACATGCACACAAACACACACTCTCTCTCCCTCTCTCACACACATACACACACACACTCTTTCCCCTTCTCTCTCTCTGTCTCTCTCTCTCACACACACACACACACACACACACAGTCTTTCCCCTTCACAAACACACATACACACAGACACACACATACACACTCTTGGACAGATCCTCTCTCATACACGCACCGTCTCTCAGGCACACACAGACACACACACACACACACACACTCTCAGATAGATCCTCTGTCATACACACACTGTCTCAGGCACACACACACAATCTCTCCCTCTCAAACCAGACACTCTGTCTCTCTCACACACACATGCACACATACACATACACAAACACACACACAGTCACACAAACACAGATCCTCTCTCATACACTGTCTCTCAAGAGCACACACACATACACACGCATGAACACACATCTGTCTCCCTTCCTCACACATACGCACATGCACTTTCTCTCTCTCTCTCTCTCTCTCACACACACACACACACACGCACACACACTCTCGGACAGATCCTCTCTCATACACACAGTGTCTCTCAGGTGCACGCACACACACTCTCTCCCTCTCACACACACACACACAGTCACACAAACACAGATCGTCTCTCATACACACACTGTCTCTCAAGCGCGCGC